CCCCCATCAGAGTTCAGGGAAGCTGTCGGAGCCCTCTCTCTCTCTTCCTGTTGAAGACTCCCAAGACCTATATGCACCTCCTTCCCCAGGTGCAGATTCAGGACCCCTGACTGAAGCAGCTTCTGGCCCTGGCCTGGGAGGTGACTCCCAATGCCGCTTCTCCCTGGAAGATGATGCCCATTCCCAGTTACTTGACGCAGATGGCTTCCTGAACGTGGGGCCTCGTCCCGGCGTGCCTGGCTCCCACAAAAGACAGTTGATCCTGGACAGTCTGGATGAAAATGCAATGGATGGCAACATGGGGGAGCTGCTAGGGTTGTGCTCAGGTGTTTTTGGGACAGTAGAGAGTGGCTCTGGTACAAGCGGAGGCCTTGGACCCATGCAGGAGGATGAGCTGCTTCGTCTGTGCTCTGGAGCATTTCCACCAACACAGGCAGGAGAGGAGCTGATGGAAATGGAGAAGAATAAAGATGGAAGACAAGATGAAGAATCTGAAAATACTATGGATCAGCTCCTGGGGCTGTGTTCAGGCAAATTCCCTAGTCTGGGTAAGAGAATGTGATGTCCCCTCTTTATTTTTATCAGTGTTTGCTGTGCTGTGTATTTATTCTAAAAGTACTTCTTGATTGAAATCATCTACAGTGTACAGTCTGTTCTGCAGGTAAACTTTGGTGACCTTATTAAAAGCAGACAGTTTATTATTGTAATGAGAAATTAAACAGACAATTCCTTAATAAGAGCCTGAAGAACTGTGAAGAACCTGAGTCTGTCCTGTGACGTATTTATACTTCTTGGTCAGGAATGTTTTCTCTGTCCTTGACACTCTGTGGTTTTAGTGGATTCACATTTTCTTTCTTTTGTTTGTGTTGTTTTTTTAAACCTTTCCCTGTTAAGATGTTTGATGTTATGGTTTCATTCATTTCAGATTCTACTCACACAGCTTCACCAGCACCAAACAGGTACAATACACAGACTTGATCTAAACTAAACGTCATCTGAAATGTTATTAAGTAAGGCTGTTTTGCTTTAATACCAAACTAAACCACGTCACTATTTCCATCTTTTTACTCATCATCTTAACACTACCTTACAGTATAAAAATATTAATGGAATTTGAATTGGATGCAAGAGTCTAACACTGGTTTCTTTCTCTCCAAAGTAAAAAGAAATCAGAGGAAGAGGAGCAGGTGGAGGAAGAGGATTGCGGGTTTCGGCTTCTGTCAGATGTGGAAAGTCATAGTGAGCAGGTAAGATGCCTCAGTGAGTCTGTTATTGTTTAGGTACGATTCCACTCTATATGTAACACAGTGGACGTATGTCTTTGTGATACAAATGACAAGTGAGCTGTGGCCTTACAGGAGGAGAGTGATGAGGATGGTGGAGGGGAAAGTGAGGAGGAGGATGAGGAGGCAGATGATATAGAAGAGGAGGAGATGCAGGGTTTGTTTGCATCACATCAAGTCAAGAAAAATAAGAAAATGTAAGTGAAAAATCACATCAGACTTCATTTGTGTTGTACCCTTCATGTAACGTTGTACATTTTAAATGAGTTGTGAGAACAAATCCTCCTTGTAACAAAGGTTTTACTTGGTTCTCACATCCTGTTCACAGGCGCTTGGCTGACTACCTGGAATCGGAGGCTGCGCTGTCAGGCAGCGATGTGGGCAGCGATGATGAAGAAGGTGATGGAGGGAGTGAATACGAGGAAGAGGAGCTTCTTGAAGAGCTTCCCTCTGACGAAGAGCTGCAGGACCAGGTCAACAAGATCCACATGTGAGTAACAGCTGCTTTTTACACCATGTTTATCTTCTTATTTCCAAACAGTTGTAATT